AAGAAAGAAAGAAAGAAAGAAAGAAAGAAAGAAAGAAAGAAAGAAAGGAAGGAAGGAAGGAAGGAAGGAAGGAAGGAAGGAAGGAAGGAAGGAAGGAAGGAAGGAAGGAAGGAAGGAAGGGAGAGAGAGAGAGAGAGAGAGAGAGAGAGAAAGAAAGAAAGAAAGAAAGAAAGAAAGAAAGAAAGAAAGAAAGAAAGACTTTTGTGACAAATATGCATCATCAAGCAAATAAACTTCCACATTGGCCATATCCACAACATTTATCCTTTATATCAGGAGGTAAGTAGTATGCTTCATCATGTACCACCACACCTTCTTTTGCACCCTGCCACCTATATCTTACAAGGGAAGAAACTGTCCAACATTTTGGTTCCTCTTAATCCTTCAAAAGAACTTAGATAGAAGGGAAGGTTATAAATGATCTAAGGCAGCGCAGTGGATTGGTATAGAAAGCTGGGAGTAAGGAGACCTGGGTTCTGATCCAATTTTGCCATTGATTCACTGTAGGACCTTGGTATTGTCACTTCTCATCTCTGGGCCTTAACTCTGAGCCCAACTATTAAAGGGTCAGACTACTAAGAATTCTTAACATGGAGTCCATGAACTTGTTTTTAAAAATATGTTGATAACGATTTCAAAATGATTGTTTTCCTTTATAATCCTAATAATTTTGTTCTATTGCATTTAAAAACATTATTCTGAGAAGGGGTCTCTGACACACAAAAATATTGAGAACCTCTGGGCAGCACAATGGTCATCCAGTCAGTCAGTCCATCAACAAGCATTTATTAAACACGTTCTTAGGGGACAGCAAGGTGGCACAATGGATAAAGCTCTGGCCTTGGAGTCAGGAGGACTTGAGTTCAAATCCGGCCTCAGACACTTGACATTTTCTAGCTGTGTGACACTTAACCCCGATTGCCTAACCAAAAAAAAAAAAAAAAAAGCAAACAAAAAAAAAAAACAAAAACAAAAACAAAACACTTTCCTATATGCCAGGTACTGTGCTAAGTTCTGGGCATACAAAGAAAGACAAAAACAAAGTCTTCCTCTCAAGGAACTTAAATTCTAATGGGGCTGTGATTGGGGTGACAATCAAACAACAATGATATAAACAGTATAAATGAAAGGTAAAGTCAGACTTGGGCTCCTAATGTCTCTCTCAGTCTGATACACCGGGTTCTGGGTTCTAAGGTTCCTGGCAGCTTCAGCGGGAAGAGGAACAACAAAAGGAGTAGGATGGCTGCTTGGGGTAGATGGGATGAAGACGATAGACAATAGTGACAAAGCTATGCTGCTCAGTTCTCATTTTGCTTTGATTTTCTCTGCCAAAGAAAAAGGTAAAGGATAGATGAAAAAACTGGCTAAGAGGGAGGTGAAAGCCCATATAAATAAGAAGATAGAAATAGAGCAGCGAGCTACCCTGAATGGATTCAAGCCCAGATGAACTGACATACAAGTGTATCGAGAAAAATGGCAGATACAGTTGCTGAAGCCACCGTGAGTGACATTCGAGTAACTGTGGAGAGGCATATGTGAAGTATCAAGGGAGTGGAAAAGGGCAAATTTTGTATCAATTTTCAAAAAAGGGAAAAGAATGAAGTCTGCAAACTAGAGGACTGCGAGGTTGATTTCAATTCCTGGCAAAATTCTCGAAATGATTATTAAAGAAATGCTAGTGACATTTAGAAAAGAACGTAGTGATTGCAAAGATCCACCAGGACTTCGTCAAGAACAGGTCATACCCGACTAACCTTAAAAACAGAAATAAAACCCTTTTTTGGACAAGCTTCCTAAAGTGATAGATCAGGAGACTTCTGCTGATATGGTTGACTTGGGTTCTAAAAAGGCATTTGATTAGGTATTTCATGCTATTCTTGTGGAAAATGTGGCGATATGTAGGTTAGACAGTGGTCCAGGGAAATGGATTTGAAATTGGTTGAATAGTTGGACCGAGTTATAAATGTCAGCTTGGCAAGAGGTCACCAGTGGAACGGCTCCAGGATCTATGCTTGACCCTATGTTGTTTATCATTTTTATTAATGATATGGATAAAGACATGAAAGTCAAGCTGAAGCTCTTTTTGTAGTAGTAAAGAATCAAATACTGAGGGGATGACAAAAACTTGACAAGTACATCAAGCAGGGAATGGCTGAGCAAGTTCTGGTATATCAATATGATGGAGTATTATTATGCTAGAGGAAATGATGGAAAGGATGATTTCAGAGAAATCTGGGAAGACTCGTATGAACTGATGCAAAGTGAAGTAAGCAGAACCAGGAGAAGAATTTATACAATATCAACAATAGTTAAGACAAACAACTTTGAAAGGCTCAGGAACTCTGATAAACCCAATAACCAACCACAATTCCAGAGGACTCTTGATGAAACATGCTACTCACCTCTTGATAGAGAAGTAATGAACTCAGATTGTAGTTGATATATATATATATATATATGTATGTATGTATATATATATGTATGTATGTATGTGTATATATATGTGTAAATATATATATATATATACACACACACACATATATATTTGGACAAGGCCAATGTGAGAATTTGCTTTGTTGGCAATACATATTTGTAATGGCATTTTTTCCTTCCTTTCTCAGTGGGGAGAGTGGAAGGGAGATGGAGAAGGGAGAGGGAATGGACTTTCATTGATTATAAATGAAATTTAATTTTTAAAAAGTCAAGTTTAATAAATTTCCAAGTGACATGAAATTTAAAGGAATAAGTAACATACTAGGATCAAAAGAGATTTTTTTGACAAACTAAAACATAGGGCTAAATCTAAGAAGATTAAACTTAATCTTGATAAATGTCAAGTCTTATATTTGGGTCCAAAAAAACTTCACAAGTACAAAATAAGCAAGGAATGTTCAAATAGCCGTCTCTCTGAAAAAGACCTAAGGGTTTTAGTGGACTGAAAGCTCAATAGGAGTCAATAGTATGATATAACAATCCAAGGAGCCAAAGTGATCTTAGTTTCCAGGAATAAAGGGGTGATAGCCCTGCTTTACTCTATCCTTGTGAGAGTCCATCTAATTTAGAAAGGGCATTGATAAGCTAGAAAGCTTAATTACCCTAGAAATGGTAATCTACATGTTGAAAAGTCTTGAGTCCTTGTCATATGAGCATTGATTGAAGTAAGAGAAGAAGTAAGAGAGTAAGTAGTAAGTGAAGTAAGAGAGAAAAACCAACTTGGAGGGGTTGGGGGAGGGGGAGGAATAGAATTACAATTGTTTTCAAGTCCCTCAAGATCCGTTCTGTGGGAAAGAGATTAAATTTGTTCAATTTGGCTCCAAAGAAAAGAACCAGAAACCATGAATGAAAGCTGTGAGAGGCAAATTTATTCTTTATTTTAGGGGGGTGGGGCAATCAGGGTTAAGTGACTTACCCAGGGTCACACAGCTAGTAAGTCTGTGGGCGGATTTGAACTCAAGTGCTCCTAACTCCAGGGCCAGCGCTCTATTTTCTGCACCACCTAGCTACTCCTCAAATTTATTCTTGCTCTCAGAAACAGAACTTTCTAACAATTGGAATTGTCCAAAGGGGGAATGGATTGTTTGGGGAAAATGGTTTCTCCTTTCCTGGGGCTCTTTAAACAGGGACTGGATAACTACTTGTCAGGTGTGCTGCAGGGGGGATACTATTTCCAGTATGAACTGGACTAGATGGTCTCTGAGACCCCCTCTCACCCTAACATCTATGATTCTATGTTTCTGATACCTATATTCAAGTGTCTCTTTTAACTCTACAGTCTATAATCTAACATTCCACATCACAAGATTCCTTCCAGCTCTGACATTTTATGTTGTAGGTATCAGGGAGGGATCTAGATGAACAGAGCTAGAACATTTTTAATCCCCTGTGACTCCCAAAAGGACTGGTGGGGAGTCTTACAAGCCCAGACTTAGGGTCTTTGGAGACTTAGATTAGAGCTCTCTGCCAGGTCTATTAATATATATTATGAAGGGTAAGGCCCATGACCATCTGTGGTTGTCAGGACTGGGATCCCAAGGGATCATTCCCTGAATGTGTAGTCAGGACCTTTTCCAGCCTCATTTTCCTGCCAGGCAGCATCTGAACTGCCCTTACCTTTGAGTTAGCCTTTGGGTTCCAAGAAGAAAAGCATGGGACCCAAGGAGTCCTGAAAATGTCTCCCTTGGATGGAGGTGGACAAAGAGCCCTGAAAAGGTAGGATATGGCCATAGAAGGCCAGAGGGAGGTCCCAAGGCATTCAGTGAGAAGACAGAATCTTCCTCTCATGGAATGAAAGCTGACCACTAGAAAAGTGGAGTGGAGACAGTGCCCATGTCAAAGGAGAACCCAATAGACCCAGAATTTTAGGGTCACTAGGCCACTGTTTCTCCCTTCCTGGACCTGGCAAAATTTTCCAAGATACAGACTGTTTTATGTACAAATAGATACCCAACTATCTTCTGAGGGATTAGTTCTGGATATGGAGCCAATCTGGGGAGAATCTGGTATAATTTAGGGATTACTTATATCTAAGGTGAAATCCCTGGGGTAGTGGAATTCCCCATAACTGGAACAGACTGCTTGTGGTCATTATGTATTCCTCTACTCTCAATCACCAGATCCTATGACTGTGACCCAAGGCTCCTACCATTGACCAGCATCTAATGGCATACCCGAAGGCATTTGCCTATGTCCATCCACCTCCCATCAGCACTATTCCCCGCCCCCACCCTCCCCTCTGGCAGAAACACAGATCCTTGAGAGCCTTGGAGAAGCCATTTACTGCACCTGCCTGCCAGGATAGCCTTTGGCTCCCGGACTCCCTTCTGGTCCTGGCTCCCCCTGTAAAGGAAAGGAGAGGACAGTGAGTTCTTCTAGAGGTGGGGACAGAAGAGGAGGGACCACTCAAGCTAAGCCCAGGGCACAGAATGAGTTGGGGGAAGGGTAGCATCTGAGTTACAATGGACAAAGGGATGGCAAAGGGATAAAGGCAGAGAAAGGAAAGTGAGATGAAAAAAGAGGAAAGGGAAGCCCTCCTCTACAGCCCTCCCCCCCAATCAGGTCCCAGGGAAACCGGCTCAACCAGCTCTTCATACAAAGCCCCCCGGCCCTGAAAACAGGGAGCAAAGTAAAGGTGTCATTCCCTCTCTGGCATATGGAACTGTTTTCCTTGGGTCAATGCTGCCAAGATTCTGGCAAACTAGATGGATGCATGTATAATATCCTCTAACATCGAACAGAACAGCCCAGCTATTCATGGATTTTACTGCAAACATCAGGCTTATCCAAACACTCCATGAGGGAATTACTGCCTCTTTCAGTAAGATGTGGTTAGCGAGGAAGGGGCGGGGGGAAACCCAGTGGCAAATTTAGTGCAAAGAAGGGACGAGTGAGAAGGCAAGAGCTTCCTTATTTCCCTGCTGGCCCAGAGGACGTGGGGCTCAGTGCCCAGGGGCTAGAGTAGGGGGCAGGTAGGGAGCTGGAAGGAGGGGGGAGACTCACGGGCGGCCCATCCATGCAGGATAGGCTGGGGGAAGGGGGAGGGCACTGTGCCCATGACTGTCAATAAAGGCATAAATCAAGAGACATAGAGAGGAAGGGAGATCCTAAGGAGCCAGGCTGCTGCTACAGAGAAAACCAGCAAGGTTGTGGCCAGCTAGGTTGGACCAGAACTCTTCATCAAGGCCTTGTGGCTAGCCATAGGTCCAGGACACTCACTTACCTGGTCTCCAGGATGTCCAGATGGTCCAGGATAGCCTTTCAGCCCCTGTAAAGAAGAAATATCCAGGGCCAAGTTAGAGAATGCTTTGAAAGGACTCTTATTTGGGGGGAGCAAGATAGCTACAACAACCCAACTATTCACATGGGCGAGAAGCCAACACTCCTGACTCAGAGAGGTATTTGTCAGCCTTGTGGCTGACATTAACCCTTCTATTCCCATGGTCTTATCGCCAACTTTTTTTTAATTGGACATGGGCATCCAATGGTTATAGGAAATCCCCTGTACCAGTTCAGACAGACACCTGCTCTGCAACTGGCAGTCTTGAGGTACTGAGAGGTTATGGGACTTGCCCAGGGTCACACAGTAGTCATGAAAGACAGACTTGAGTCCAAGTCTTCCCAACTCAGTTTTCTACCCACTATGCTACATTGTCACAACTTTGTCAGAAATAAAATAAGACACCAGTATGGCCAAAGATCTTCCCCTCACGCACTTTCTTGAGAACATAAATTAGTTTGTGGTTGTCAAGTGCTTTGAAGCTTTAAAGAAGAGAAGATGCCACAAAGGTTTTAGAGCTTGTGGCCCCTCTGCCCCTCAAAGCCCACTGCTTATCTCCTCCATCTTCTTGAAAGAGGCAGTCTCCCAAAATTACAGCCAAGAGGACTTTATGGATTTACACAAGGTCCCAGTCAACAACAGGACCTGATTTAGACACGTGTCCACGCTCTTCATTTGGTGCTGAGTCTCATCGCAGAATCTCAACCTTGGGAGGACCCTGCATGGTAAGTCAGTGCAAGCCCTAGCAGAAAAGCACTCTGACATTCCTCAAAGCAGTCAACCAGATCTCACTGCCTCCCAAGGAGGGCCACTCCACGTCTGCAGGGCCCTAATTATTAGGAAACTTTTCTTTGCAGGGAACCACAATCTGGCTCTCTTCAGCCCCCATCTATTTCTCCTCATTCTGCCCTCTGAGGTCAAACAGAACAGATTGAGTCCCTGTTCTAGTAGTCTTCAAATAGCTGAAGACTCAAACCATGTTCCTCCTAAGCAGCAAGAAGGTGCAGTGGGTAGAGTGAAACTTGGAATTGGGAAGACCTAAGTTCAAATCTGTCTCAAATGATTATTTACCATGTAACTCTGGCTGAGTTATTTAATCTCTCTGTGCCTCAATTTTCTCACCTGAAAATAAGAAGGTTGAGTCCCTCCCAGTTCTAAATCTATAATCCAATGATCACTTTCTTCTCAAGGTTAAACATGCTATAATCATTTTCCCCCAATTAATAGTATTTCATTTTTCCAATTACACGTAAAGATTATCTTCAACATTCACTTTCATAAGATTCTGAATTCCAAATTTTTTCTCCCTCCCTTCCCTCCCCTCTCCCCAAGACAGAAAGCAATCTTATACAGGCTATATACATACAATCATATTAAACATTTCACATTAGTTGTGTTGTGAAAGAAGAATCAGAACAAAAGGAGAAAAACACGAGAAAGAAAAAACAAAACAAAAAAAGAGAAAATAGTATGCTTCAATCTGCGTTTAGACTCCATAGTTCTTTTTCTGAATATGGACAGTATTTTCCATCATGAGTCTTTTGGAATTGTCTTAGATTACTGTATTGTTGAGAAGAGCCAAGTCTATCAAAGTTGATCATTGCACAATGTTGCTGTTATTGTGTACAGTGTTCTGGTTCTGCTCATTTCACTCGGTATCAGTTCATGTAAGTCTTTCCAAGTTTTTCTGAAATCTACCTGTTCACCATTTCTTATACCACAATAGTATTCCATTACATTCATATACCACAACTTATTCAGCCATTCCCCAACTGATGGGCATCTCCTCAATTTCCAATTCTTTGCCACCACAAAAAGAGTTCATGCTATAAATTCTTATAAGCAATCTTCATACAGCAGGATCTCCAGCTTCCCAATGTCCTTCCTAAAATGTTGAGCCCAGAAATGTTCAAAATATTCTAAATGTGGTCTGACCACACCAGGCTACACCATGACAATTACCTCCCTCATCCAGGATGCTATGCATCTCAAAATAGCCTAAAATAGTATCATGGATTTTTAGGCGGAGGGTTGCTGTCATGTTATACTTTTGGATCATAATGAGGATGCAAATCACTAAAGACCCCAGACTTTTTACATAGGAACTATTATCTAGCCACTCCTTCCCTATCTGTTCTTGTGTGGTTGATTGTTTGAACTCAAGTATTATTTCTATTAAATGTCATCTCATTAGATTCAAACCATCATTGCTGCCTATTGGGATATTTTTGAGCCTTGACTTTGTCTTTTATCTCTCCCATCTCTTCTGCTCTCAGTGAACTTTGCTAGCTATGGCTATAGCTCCAGGTGCCATAGAACAGTGTCATGAAGATAACATGCCACCAGTCTCTTGATCTGGTCACATAAACATCAGGTCAGCGGAAGCATCTTCAGCAAACAATAAGTATAAGACCTATTGGGAGCAAAGTACGTGAACTCTAAGGCATGGAAGTTGTACCATCTACTTGGGCTATTCAAAGGTCTTTTCTGCTTCCTTCCTGAATCTTATTTTCTGATAGCCTGAATCTTCCTGATTCTTGGTTGTATTCCAGATGGAAGAGAATGCCAGACAACTGAGTTTCAATGGGTGAGATATTATGGTGTGAGACACTGCCCTTAAAGACCCTGAAGGGTAGGTGGGGAGAGAAGATCAACACAGACGGAAAAGTTAGGACACAACACAAGGCAGCACAGCGTTCAAAACCTGAATGACTGTTATTAATGGTGCCATAAGAGTTTCAAAAAGGAAGAGAGAACTGTGGCTTCAAAAGGTCAGGAGCAGCTTCAGAGAGGGGTTAGGACTTGATTTGGGCACTGATAAAAGGACAGGATTTGGAAAAGGGGAAAGAAGAAAGGTAGGGTGTTCCAACAGGGGAATGGTCTAAGCAAAGGCTTTGAGTCTGGGGGACACTGAAGAAACTAATTTGGCTGGAATTGAGAGTTCCTGTGAAGAAATAATAGGAGATCAAATCGGAGAGAGCTGATAGAAGAGAGTCTTGAAGTCCAAGTTGAGGATTTTGGACTCAAAGTCCTTGGCTAACCCTTGAGGTTATCTCCTTCCTCAACACAACCATCTGGGGCCTCCCTTCTGCCCCCCCTACCCCCATCCATGTCTTGTCTCATGAGTCTCAAGGCAAATGCTCGCTTCTCTTTGTGTATGCAGGAGGTGGTGACAAGAACCAGGACCTGCCACAGCTGGAGTTCCTTCTTGCCAGCTTCAATTTTCCAAACACCCCCAAAATAGAGCTCCATGAAAAAAAAAACATGCCTCTTCATAATTTGGCCCAAGTCAATAAGTTCCCTTCATCCCTCTGGCCTGAATGAGACATTCTGTCTGGAGGAAAGCAGAAAGCAGTGACCTAAGGGATGGGGTGTTGGCTGGTGGAGAAGATGGAGGAGGAGGCAGCATCCTGTGCTCTTTGGCACCAAGGCACACTTGGATGCAGATCCCTGTGTCCTGCAGTGACGCCCACCCAACCTGTCACCAGTGTCCTGGACAGCCAGCCACTCGAACGCCACTGCTTTGAGGACAGCAGTGGGATCCAAGCCACAGCCTGTATTCACTTTCCAAATAAAGCTCCAAAGAAGCAGCCTGAAATGGAAATAACAATACCTAATAACCTCACACAGTTGTAGTAAGGAGATTGCTTTGTAAATCTTTGCACACTATATAAATATGAGTTGTTATTATCATTAATATTAGAAAGAGCAATGCACCATGAGTTGGGAAGCCAAGGTTCCTGCCACAAACTCAATGTGTGGCTCTGAGCAAATCAGCCCCCAATCTGGGTTTTAGTCTTCTCATCTCAAAAAGGAAGGGGCCCAAGAGTAGGCTTTCAAAGTTTCTTTCTGGTTCTACTCTTTCAAGATTCTAGGGATCATCTTAGCTCTTAAGTAAGTCAGGAATTTGTGCATTCAGTTAGGTGAATAGTAAGTAACAGGTGGTATATGTTTTTTTTTTTTGGTAAGGCAATTGGGGTTAAGTGACTTTCCCAAGGTCACACAGCTAGTACATGTCAAGTGTTTGGTGTGAGGCTGGATTTGAACTCAGGTCCTCCTGACTTCAGGGCCAGTGCTCTATCCACTGTGCCTCCTAGCTGCCCCAGTATATGATTTTTTTAAAGGAGCAATTAGAATCAGCAAAACTCAGTACAGAAAGAACCTAGAGAGAATATCACACCCCCCTCACAGAAGAATAACATGGAAAATCATAGAATTTTTGAATTCAAAGGAACTTTGAGAGTTTAGGATCATAGATTTACTAGGCAGCTAGGTATCATAGTGGATAGAACTTTTGGCCTCAGGTGGGGAAGACTAGAATTCAAATCCGGCCTCAGATACTTACTGGCTGTGTGAACCTGGGAAAGTAAACCTTTGCCCACTTCACTTTCCTCATCTGTAAAATGGGGATAAGAATAGCACCACCTATATCTCCCAAAGTTGCTGTGAGATTAAAATGAGTTAATACTTATAAAGCGCTTTGCAAACCTTAAAGTGTTATATAAATGCTAACCATTATTAGATTTAGTAAGAAAGGCTCATTTTGTCAGACATTCATTTTACAGATAAGGAAACTGAGATCCAGAGAGGAAAACAACTTTTCCAAATAATTAAAGGACAGAGATGGCATATAAACCAGGTTCTCTCCTCCTCCTCCCACTCTACCCCCAGTATAGTACTCTCTTCCATTATACCAAATGCTTCTTGGCACCAGGTTATTTAGTCTAATTTTTCACTCAGTAATTCTCCTTACAGGATTTTCAACAACCTCATCCAGTCTCTTTTTGAATACTTGGCATTGTGATTGTGAGTGACTGAGAGCTCACTGTCTCATTGAATGGCTCTACATCTCTTTTCAAGTTGGAAAGCACCAACTTGAAACGGATTACTCTAGATTACCTTTGGATTATACCAAAAGATTACCTTTGGACTATAAAGTGAAGCTTCATAAGGATGACTCCTGCTAAAGGTAATGTCATTCCAACAGG